AAAGGGAATAATCTGTATATTTGCAAAGTTGTGAAAAAATTCAGAGCTTTTGCATGGAACTCCTCTTGCAGCCCTGACTCCGTAATGAAGGCATAAATCCAGCTTTGTGTACCTGAGCCCTGCCTGCTCCGTAGGCACGAGGCGTTGCTGTGGGAACCGCAACTTTCCGAATTTGTTTCCACTCCGCTCTCTGTTTCAGCTCGCTCCCAACAGGCACTCCAGAGGTAGAAAGATCCACAGCCTACCGCAGGATCTCCCCCACAGGAGAGGCGGTTTGGTGGAAGAAATAAACAGCTGCATAATGGGGAGAGAAGGGAACGGGGAGGGTGGGTGGAGAGGGGCATCACGAGGCGGGTGTGAGGAGGTGGGTGCTGGGGCTGCCCTGCCTGGGGGGCTCTGGGGCTGTGCACGGGGGATTTGCAGTTTTGGAAGCGGAGCTGCTGCTGGGTGCAGGGACAGAGCCGGGGAGCTCGGCTGTGTGCTGGACGTGCTCCTCCTGCGCCTCCCAGGCATGGGGACGGGCACTGGGTGGCTGCTTCTTGCTTTTCCCCTGGAGCTGAGGGTAATGTGAATGTCTGGCCAATTTTGCATCCTCAGCTTTGTTGTTTCTGCTGCTCAGAGGATGTGCTGTTGGCAAACCTCTTGCAGCAACACGTCACCCCCACCTGCCATGCCCAGGCTCGCCATGATGCAGAGGGAGATCTCCTGTCCCATCACTTCTTACTCCCCCAGCTCCCTTCCCCAGCAGATTCCTGCGTGTTTCCTTGAGAAACAGCTTCAGGAGAGGATGCATTCAGGTCTTGAAGTCCATGTCGAGATTTCATTTGCTGGCTGTCACCATCATCATGCTGTGTCCAGGTCCCCACGTGCCCACCCTCAGTCCCTGCCAGTCTCCATCCCCAGAGGATTTGAGGGCAGGTTTGGGGGCTCAGTCCGAGGGCACACTGCAAGGCAGGGCACGGTGCTGAGCCCCAAGCGCACGGCACGTGCAGGACATCGTGCCCTAGGACGCGGAGCACGGTGCGTGCCCACCGTCACCGAGGATGCTCTGCAGCCCCAGCGCTGCAGTGATTTACCTCCCCGAAACACCTCAATTTAAATGCTAATTCTCCCCGATCCGAGGGGTGAAGCAGCTGGTGATTAGTGTCAGGCTGTTTACTGCTGGAGTGGTGAACACTGGGGATGTGGCAGGGAGGGATGGCAGCACAGGGACAGGTCTTCTCCACGGTGCCAGCACCGAGCAGCCGATGGAGGGCTGGGGACAGCGGCTGTGGCCGTGCTGCGCCACCCCACGGGTCTGTCCTCGCTCCCCCAAGTCTGTCCCCAGCCCCATCCAGCCATGCACGGCTGCAATCCATGGGGAGCACCAAAAGTCTGGGAGCTGGAGGGGACCCCAGGGCCTGGCAAAACCTCCTCAGTCTCCTCTGCATCCCTCCTCGTCACGCAGCAGGGGGACTTGCTCGCGCTAATGGCATTTGGAGTAAATTTGGGTACTTGGCAAGGTTGGTGTTCAGCCCTCATTCACCCGTGGCTGAGGTCAGGGAGACACGTGGGGACATCTGCGGTGTGCTTGCTCTTCCCAAAGTGGCTGTGGAAACAGGACACCCTCGTTTCTGTCTCCCAGTGACTCGAGCTGATATTTTTTGCAAATTCAAGTGAAAAAGAAGGAGCTATTTCTGAACATCCCCACCGCAAGCTGGGCTCTTGTGAACTTACAGCCACCCCAACAGAAAAACTTCACTGAAGGGAATTTGGGTCAAAAGCTGGCATTAAGCAACCTCAGATCCATTGTCCCCAAGCCACTGCGGGTCAGAAAGAAGCAAGATTAATAAATTATTCTTGCTGGGGAAGGCGTCCTGGCTGGCTTACATAGCAGAGCTCTGCAGAAAGCGCAATCCTCGCGTCGTCACTTTGCTGAACATAACCACCCTGGATGATAATGTGATTAACATTTGTAGCTGTGCCGGCTCAGATAAGGGTAATTAAATCTCACGCTTCAGGGCATCAGCTAATCACTTGCGGGGTCATTTTTTATTTTTTTTTTTACCCCTTCATGAATATATTTGCCCGGCTGCCGCGATGCGTTGTGAGCATCTGCTGCCAGCTGCGGGCGGAGGCAGAAGCTGGTCCCTGGCTTTCACGTGGCTGCTGCGGGACCTGGTGGCCGTGGCCCCATCCAGGATATCCAGGGTGCTCCAGCTGCTCCCAAATACCTGTGTCAGCACCAGGGCACCTTCTGCTCCCGGACCCCATGGGATGCCACCGCTCCTCCCGGAGGTTCCCCACCCAATGCGTGATGCGGTGGCAGCGCTGCAGGGACACAGCCCCACACTCTGCCTCTCCGTGGATTTATTGCGTGACCTTGGGGTGGTATTTAAGGTCAGAAGTCCCCCAGAATCTGTACTGCTCGTATCAAGTTTCTGAAGGGCAGGAGGATGTGGGCATGGTGAGCTTTTGCTGCCGGAGCTCTGCTGATCCTCTGGTATTTGTCAGCAGCGAGACCCGTTCAGCTGGCATTTATTTCCCCGAGGTGGGAAGTACGCTGGTCTGGATACTGGGAGGGGGGGACTGGGGAAAGGAGGGAGAAACATTTCCCTCTGCAATGACTCAGTGTCTGTAAAGCACCCCAAGAGCCTCGTAGATCTCTCTGGGTGTGCTGGGAAGCGGGAGTTAACTCAGCGTGCATCGCCGGGGGGTAGCGGCTGGCTGCCAGCTGCGTGAGAGGCAGGGGGGTGCTGGAGGACAGGGAAAGAAGCAGGGGAGGATGTGGCAGGGCTATCAGCTGCTGAAAGTTTGCTGTTTCTTCCCCTGATCCCACCATTATACACTTGGCCCCACGGCTGGTAGGAACCACAAGGTGCCTCCTGCAAAAGCCTGGCAGAAACTCTTTTTTTGTGCGTTGATGGTGCCCGGTGCTGAGCCGCAGGGTTATTAATAAGGAGAGGAGGAAGAGGAGCTGCAGCCCTCTGCCGGCTGCGGGTTCACAGCACACTGCCCGGCACGCTGTGGCCGGGAGCAGTGATTTTGGTGTCCCTGCTCTCAGCCTTCCCCAGCACAGTGCAGGTTTGTAAGGAGGCTCCATCCCAGCAGCTTGGTGATGCTGGTGCCCACGCGCTGGTGGTCAGCCCTGGGGCACGTTCATGGGGTGGCACGGAGCAGGATGCGTGTGGTGGGAGGGGAACGGCGCTGAGCTGCTCCCTGGGAGGTGTGGGTCTGGCAGAGGGGAGGAAGGAGATGCAAAAAGGGCTTGGGAACAAACCCGTGCCATTGCACTGCTCCTGCTTCCGACACTGCTGCAGGTGTCTGTGCGCACCGGCCCCCTCGCTTGGGGGACTTGGTGATGGGGACCCAGTATCCCCATCATCACCGTGCACCCCGTCCTGGGCCCTCCCCTGGTGCTCTCATCCCCCATCGCAGGGCACGGGGATGGCCCCTGTCCCATCGGGATGGTCCCCATGCCCCGTGGTGGCAGCGGGGGTCGGTGCCAGGTGAGCCACATCCTGCATTTCGCACCTTGCCTTGCCTGGCAGCGCTGGGGCAAAGCAGCGGAGACGCCGACGTGCCCACGGGCTCCTTCCCGTGTTCCCTGATGATTTCCCTGCCGTTGCAGCCCACAAGCACCCAGCCAGCCCCAGGCTGGCAGTAATTGCAGCCCCCCCATTTGCCTTGCTAAGCCAGCAAAAAGCTTAGAACAGCAAATCAGCGCCCTGCCGCTGGGGATCCCGCCTGTGATCAATGGGAGATTTGTGAGCCGCTGCGTGAGCGAGAGGATTTTCCCCGCAGACAAATAAAACACTTTTTCTCTGGCAGAGTCTAAAGCGAAGCTCCTGAGATGCTGTCAGGTGCCGGAGGCTTTGAGACGCGGCGCAGGGAGCATCCCCGGGGCTGGCTGCAGGGAGCTGCTCCCCCCTGCTCTCCCCCCGCCAGCCTTACACCTCCTCGTGCTGGTGGCACCCTTGGAGGTGGTCGTGTCCCCGCTCACGAGATGTTCATGGGACGATGGAGCATTTCTGGCTGCGTGGGGACAAGCTGTGGGAGGGGGTAAAATGGGGCTGGTGGGGGCAAGCTACAGGATTGGGGGAAAATGGGGACAGGATGGGGGCAAAATTCAGAGCTGGTCAGGGGGAAATCAGCTCGGAGAAATGCAGTGGGGTCAGGCGACACCAGCCTGAGGGCTGCAGCCTCCCCGGCTCCCAGGGCTGACCTGGTTTTGCAGGAACCTCCCCTTTTTGGCTCAGAAACCCTTTTGTCGTGGCTCCAGGAGGATGCGCAGCCTCCTGGCCTATATTTTGGCTCCGGGATCAATATTTAACACCCCCCCTTCGTGCTCGCTGCGCAGGCGTGGGGCGTTTTGCTTGCCGGGGGAGGTTTGTCTCCCAGCCTCGTCTGCTCGCTGCTTCAAATAATTTCTCCGGCATCGTTGTTCTAGAAACAATTCATTAGGGGCCTATTATACAATGTTATACCTGCCAAGGTTAGAAAAGATCCCACACGCGTGGTGAAATTGCAGCAGGAGCTGCACGCTTCAGCTTTTCCTGGTGCCTGGCTGTAAGTGTGCATTTTTCTCCCCGCTCACCCCGGGGCAGAGCCGTGCCCGTGGCACTTCTTGGTGATGTCCCCAGCCTGGCAAGAAGCTGCACGTGGTGGGAAGCGGGCAAATGAGGGCTGGAGGATGCTTTTCTCTCTCCCCTCGATGCTGCCTGCCAGCCCTCCCGTGGCACGCTTTGAAAATCCAGGCCAGAAGCAGCAGACGGGTCCCCAGGCTGGCGGCGTTTCTGCTGGAAAGCAGAGAGACAACGGAGCCGCAGCCCCAGGGAGCTCATTAAGCATCACCCAGGCTGCTTGAAGATGGGGCAGAGAAAAAAAAAAACGCATCCCCCGCCAGGTCTGCTCCCAGGAACCCACCTGGAGATGTCCCCGCCTGGCCCCGGCGCAGCTCAGCCCCGCCGCCCAGCCTCAGCCCGCATCCGTGCTTTGCAGTTGTGTTTTTGTCTCTGCAGGGAGAACAACTTCATCAAGGACTTCCCGCAGCTGGCCGACGGCCTCCTGGTCATCCCGCTGCCCGTGGAGGAGCAGTGCCGTGGTGTCCTGTCCGAGCCCCTGCCTGACCTCCAGCTCCTCACCTGGTACGGGCACCCCCGGCTGCATCTCGGGGGACCTCGCGGCACCAATCCTGCCTGCAGAAATTGCACGTGGGCTGTGCGAGCCTGCCCCGGGCAGGCAAAATAGCCAAAAATAGAGAGTCTGAACGCCGGCTGTTCCTTTGCAGGAGACATCAAGTACGACGAGGCCATGGGCTACCCCATGGTGCAGCACTGGCGCGTCCGGAGCAACCTGTACCGGGTGAAGCTCAGCTCCATCACCCTCTCTGCAGGTGAGGGCTGCCTGCCACGCTGGTGGGTTTCTGCCAGCATGGAGATGGCACGTCTGCACGGGTTTCTCATGCAAAGCACCTCACTGGAGGTTTCCATCTCCAGGCTGCTGCAGAGGCAGGCAGAGAGGATTCAGAAATACAGACTCATTTGCACTGTAAAAAACCTTCACGATCACTGAGTCATCAGCGTAACCTACTGTGTCCCATCACTAACCCACATCCCTTAGTGCCACGTCCACGTGTCTCTTAAATACCTCTGGGGATGGGGATGGGGCAGCAGGTTTCGGTGCTTGCACGAGCTCCTGATTACAGGGGGAAATGAAGCAGGGAGCGGTGCCCCGTGGCTGGGCAGAGGCTGGAGTCAGAGCCAGGACAAGCTGGTGAGCAGCACAACAGGAGGGATTCGTGTGATGCACAGTGTGCATGGATGCATGTGTGTGTGAAAAACAAAAAAAATAATAATTGAAAAATGTGGTTTCAAAAGGACCCAAGCTGTAGAGGCAGGTCGTATAATGCAGGCAGCGTCAGGTGAAGAGGGGGCAGGTGGGATGATCCTGCAAACTGCCAAAACATTTCACTTTCACATGTTTTATAACTACCCGTTTTGGTTCAGAAACGCTGAAATGTTTTGTTGTGACCTGGAATGTTTTGCCTTTTCATTTCAAATCAGCATTTCTTATTTAAAAATCAACCTATTTTTAAAGGGGAAAAAAAAAATAGAAAAAGATTGAGCATTGAACAGCCACACAGCCCCAGAACGCAGCAACCTGCTTGGAGCTGAACAAAATCTTTGGGGTCAGCCCCGAATGAATTCTTCCAGCTTTTTCCTTCCACCAACCTTCTCCTTTGATCAGCTGGCTGGCCAGGCAGGCAGATGACCCCATTTGGGTGACAGCTGGGACGCATTTCCTTGCAGTGTGTTTTCAGTGTCGCCAATGAAGCAAAGCGATGACATTGCCCCGCTCCAGCCGGCGTCACGGCGTGGTTCCTCTGTGGTTTGTGCTCCCCATACGCAGTGAGGGTGCACGGCACCATCCCTCACAGCAGCCCCAGCCACCTGCACAGGCTCTGCAGGACGCTGCTCGAGGCATCGTCCCACCTGCCTTGGTGCAGAGCAGCCAGAGCCTGGCCCCATGGGTCCCCCTGGGCTGTCCCCAACTTTTGTAACCGCAGCCAGGGGTTGTGCGGGGTATTTATGCAGGGGATGGGCTGCGGTGCCACCTGTAATCAGTTTGTCCTTGCACCAAGGCATTGCTGGCCGTGGTTGCTGCAAAGCAATGTCCTGTGGGGACAGCCCCACCCAACGTGCCTGCTTCCTGCAGGATGGCCTGGGCGCGTGGAGACTTGTTCACGTGCACATCCTTGGAAATTTGCTTGAGAAATCTCTCAGGGAGAGGAATTGCTGAGGGATGGCAGAGCCACAGCCCAGAGTAAGCAGCAGGTTGTGGATTGCAAGAGCAGAGGCAAAGCGCAGGGGCGAGGGAGGGGAACCACGCTTTGCGCCCCCGCAGGGGTCTGTGCATCCCCCGGGGCTGCCTGCCCTGCCTATCCCACCCGCCCACAGCGTGCTTTCGCTCCCACAGGCTTTGCAAACATCCTGAAGATCCTGACCAAGGACAGCAGCCGGGAGGAGCTGCTCTCCTTCATCCAGCAGTTCGGCTCGCACTACATCGCGGAGGCGCTGTACGGCTCCGAGTTCAGCTGCACCATCCACTTCCCCAGCAAGAAGGTGCAGCAGCAGCTCTGGCTCCAGTACCAGAAAGGTGAGGAGGGCAGAGCCCTAAACGCCGGTCCTTTTTATTCCTATTTTCCGTCGGTCAGCCCCTATCCCTTCTTCCTTCCCTCGCCGTCTGTTTCCCAGCCCCGCCGCCGTGCCCCGAGCCTGGGGTGCTCCGGGTGGGTTTATGGAGATGGGACGTAATTGAGCTGTCGCAGAATGGCTTCGTTTTATTGCTTGTGACAATGACGGTCTTTAAGGAAGTGTATTAAATCAATAGCAGCCTCATTGTGCTACACTATAAATAACGAGACACATCATTAAACAGGGCAATAAACTTCAGGACTTTGAAGTAATACAATTAGGTTATGTTTATAAAAACTCCCTTATCGCCGTCACCTTCCATTTGCCAATTCATCTCCCTCCTCCGAGGAGCTCGGGATATTCCCTTGGCCCAAAGTCTTTCTGTTGGAGATGTCTGTGGTGTTTCTGGCAGGAGTTAGGGCATGTTGCAGGGCTCAGGAGGCCATGAAGGTGCTTCCATCCCGTTCCGTGTGCGCTGCTGACAGCGGCTCCTCCACTGCATTGGCCAAGGCGCCCACCAGCCCCCGCTGCCCCTTCCCCTTTGCCTCCGTCTTCCCAGCACGGCTATTCCTGTAGGCATGTTTGTAACACCCCATATTCATTTGTCTGGGTTTTAAGTTGTGATAATTGAAGTTTGCCACAGCGCTGCCCCTGTTTAGCAGGAGGAAGCGGTGCGGAGGGGAGCTGTGTGCGTACGCACGGTGTTACGAGGCGCTCAGACACCACGCTCCTGCCAGCCCCTTGTGGATGTGTCTGTGGGGTGCAGGCCTGGAGCAGCTCCCAGTCCAGCCCCAGGGGTGACGGGATCGATGAGGGCCCCCCCGTTCTGCACCCACATCCTCCGGCATCGCCGCTGCTCATGTGGTGCCAGGGCCACGCGGTGACCGGTGCTGCCACCCGGCCCTGCTGCAGGATGTCCCCAGTTCCTCAGCCCCCATAGCCAGGTCCCTGGCTCTGGTGAGGGTCCTGGATCCCTGAGATCCCACGGGGATTTTGTGCATCACACCCGCCCATAAGCATTTCATTTCTGGCTGTGCTGTGTTATTTGGGTGCTGGGTGCTGGCTCCCTCCCTATTCTTGGTGCGTGGCTCCGTCCTAGAGGGGGTTTGGCAGCCGGCAGGCTTGGTGATGTTGAGGTGGGTTGGTTGCTGCTGCTGAGGAACCAGAACTGTAATGAGCTCTCCGATGGTCCTGAAAATGCTCCTGGAAACAGGCTGAGGATGCTCAGGGCTCTTGTGGCTGCCGGGGAGGCCGGCTCTGTGGGTAGAGGAGAGCACCACGGGGAGCCCGGGGCTTTCTCCTGGAGAAACCACCGTGAAGAGGCAGAGCTTGCGTTTATGATAGACAGATTTTATTCCCAGCATCTCCTGCTGATTTACCCTCATTTTAGCAGTGACATAAGGAGGCTCTGAACAAATAGCCCCAGCTAGGCGGCTCCGGATGCCTTCTCGACTTGGAAACAGCTCTGGCCCGGCAGGCTCCCCGCGGCTCCTTCCAGAAGCGCTCCGAGCACACGCATGCATCATCCCCAATAAACATAGCAGCAGGGCCAGGATAACCACGGTTTGTTAGTGAGCAAAGCAGACCAGGAGAGGGGGAGACGAGCATGTTCGCAGCATCACGCAGAATTATTTTAACATTTTAATCAACTCCACGGCTGTCAGGGCAGCCAGTGACGTGGGTCGGTGCCTGCGCATCAATTCCCGCAGCCAAACGGAGGAGAAAGTGATGCAGGCTCCCGTGGGGGCTGCTGGAAAGTTTGTTCCCCCTTTGGGGTGAGCCTGCTGAAGTGGCTCTGGCCGTAGAAATGCAAATTGAGCCGTTCTGGCTGCACGGTGCACTGAGGGGCAGAGCTGGTGCCGGGGACAGGAGCAACCCTCCCCATCAGCAGCCCAGCTCTGGGGATGGGAAGGGCAGAGCCAGCAGGACGATTTATGGGGATTGTTGGGAGGCAGGAGCTGTAGGTGGTGACAGAGCCGCCTGCCCCAGTCCCGAGGGTGTGCAGGAACAAATCCTACAAACGAGAGGCAGGGAGGCCGTGCTGCTGCCCACGCGATGCAGCAGCTGGGTGCCCATGCTGTGCCCCTTCCCGAGCACACACGGATGCTTCCCCAGGCTCCCCTGAGGAACTGAGTGAGCAAACCAACCCGAACCCAAATTTTATTTCATGCAGAATGATTAAAATCCCATTTTTAGTGCCCACTTGCTCTGGCTCTGTGCAGCCAAGCCATGCTTTAACTCAGAGGGGCCTCCGGGTGGGGGACCTTGAGACCAACCTGGCCATCGATCTGTGCCACGAGAACCCGCCTCGGTTTCCTCCGCCACCAAAGGCAGCATTTCACACCAACGGCACTTCATTAAATGCCCAGCAATTGTGTGAACGTCTTAATTTGGCTGCTGGGGCCAACGTGACAGCCCAGACCACCTCCCGTTGCATTTAAGACCAGGCTGGGTCTGCCTGGGATGGGGTTGCAGTGGGTGGTGCTGCAGCCGGGGTTTGTGGCTCACGCAGGGGTGCTGACAGCCCGGTGCCTTGGCTGGGGCCGAGCAGTGCCTGCACACCATCAGGGCTCTGTGTTCGCCCCGTGAGCAGGCTGGGGCTGGGTGAGAGGCTGGGAGAGGACACGGCCAAGATTGGTGACCGCCACGCAACATCACACAAAGGAGGATCTGGCAGGATCTGCACTGCAGAGACACCGTCCCGAAACGCACAGGAGGAAAGAGAGGGATCCGTCCACCAGCAAATAAAGCTGCCAGGGGTGTTTCGTCCACCAGCAGGGATGTGCTGGCTCCCTGGCCCCTGGCTCTGGCTGGATGAGGAGAGCTTGGCTAGGAAAGGGAAGGGCGGCTCTACAGCAACCGCTGACAGCCCCGGTGGGTTTCTCCCAGCGCTGTTCCAGCTCGCTCGTTCCAGCTGCGCTCCACAAAATGCAGAACAAACGCCTGTAAGTGCTCTGGCACTTAGAGAAAATGGAGACATTATCGGCAGCAACGTGGAGGGTCTCGTCTTGTCAAGCATTTGAGTGACAGCCCTTTCCCTTGGCGCCGTGACGCCTGGCAGAGCCTCAGAGTGGGGGACTCCTGTTCTCCAGCTGGGAAGAGCTGGGAGAAGAAACGCCGTGCCCGTGGATCATTGCCGGGACCACCGAGGGGCTGGGAGAGGGGCTGGAGGAGCAGGGAGGGCTGTCCTCGTGCTAGGGATGTGCAGGGCACGGGTGGAGGTGCAGAGGTTCTCAGTACCAAACTCTGGTGTTGCTGCAGTGCTTTAGGTCCCTGGTGCATGAACTCTTCCCGCGTGTCCTACAAACAGCAAAGCTCTTGAGTGCCCTTGGCTGGGGCTCCCTGGCCCCGCTGGGCACTCAGCACGCTGGACTTCGGAAGTGGCTGAGGCAGGTCTGAAAGATGTTCACTCTCAGGAGCTGATCTTTTATTACAATAGTCCATGGCGAGGCAGTGCTCTGGCAGCTCCCACCACGGTCACTAAGGCTTTCGGATCATCCATCCAAGCATTACTCACTTACCTGCTCTTGGATCGTGTGCCATTGGTTGTGTTCACCTTTCAGAGGTCGTAGTTTTTTGCTTTTTTTGTGAACGGGGCAATTAGACAAAGACCTTCATAAAATGTAAGCCACAGGAAGCAGCCTAGAGGTCTGCTAAATGGGCAGTCCCATACTCGTGAGTAGGGTACTGTGGATCCCTTCTGTCCTCCAAGGTCCAATTCCTCTCCCATCAGGTCTGGCGTTGCCATAAGACAATTAAGAAGGAGCCGGTCCGTGGGAACCTTTAGATTCAAATTCCTAGACATGAAGGAAGTGCAGGACAAGCTCTGCCTCTGTCAGAGGAGCTAACAGCTTTCCCTGATACCTGCCTGTCCGAAGGAACATGTAGGGAGCTTCCCTCTCCTTCAGCTCTGCTCCTATAACCACTGCTCTATTACCTTTGTAACGCTCTCACTGCTGGTGGTTTATATCCTTATATTTATTTCAAAACCTCTGATTTTGACATTTTGTTCAGAGAAGGAAGGAAAAAAAACAATTTAGCTAGTTGCCGTGAAATTTAGTTTAGACTAAAATATGTGCTGTGACTCAGTCTGCTAAATGACCTTATGCACTGCTCATTGTAATCCAGAATTGCCAGGCAAGTAGAGTAATTAGTTGTGCAAAATGAAATAACTTTAAATCCTCACATTGAGTAATGACCCAGAAAAATCACTTAAACTATACAATAGAAAAAGACCGAAAGCATCTGGCTTTATTTTTACTTCTGTGGCTCTGCCCCCTTTGATTAAGAAACACTCTCTCCCCCTCATCCCTTTCGAAGCCGTGGCTGTCAGCTGCTGCCCGGAACAAATGTTCGCAACTTAGTTTGCCTCTGCCCAAGAAATCATAACTCCTCGTAAAACGTCAGCCTGCGCCTGGCAGCACCGGCACAGCAGTCGTTCTGCAGGGCTCGTACACGTTTGATAAACTGGCAGCTCGTCACTGCTTAAAGAGCTGCTTCCTATCAGCCAAGATGAGCAGGGCTCCTAAAAGCCTTCACCCAGCGCAGCAAACGGTGCCAGGCAGAAGGGCGAGGGGCGAGCTCGTGTGTGCTGGGGCCTTGGAAAGCCAGGAAGGTGCAAAACGGGGGCAGAAAGCACCAAAATGAGCCAGGGGCGAGTGGGGTGATGGCAAACCCGAGCCCAGCCCGCAGCCAGGCAGCCACAACCCGCGTGCTCCTGGAAACATCAGGTAGCGGCTAAATACAAGGTCCTGGCCCTGCGGGAGCATCGCTGCAGGTGGATGGAGGAAACCCCAGCATCTGGTCAGGAGGTGGGCAGGGAGGTGTGGGGTGAAGTTACCTTAGAGCTGCCGAAGAGATCTGATGTCTCCCTCGCAGCCTGCCAGCGTAACAGGGGGCTCGTAGCTGTTGTTAGCGAGTCTCATTCCCACCGGCCGTAAAAAACAATCTGCCGCCAAAGGGAGGAGATGAAGTGTTTTTAATAACAAAATGAGCCGTTCGCAATGCACTTTTAATTGGATCAATTTTTCCTTTATTACACAACCTTTAAAAATCAAACACAGACGTAGAAGCAGACAAGTCCTTTCTCCAGGTAAGGAGCAGAAGGCGAGCTGTTTCATCACACTCCTTAATTACTGCGCTTCGTCTCATTTGGCAGACGATCACAACATCGCGTGGGGGCACCGCGGCAAGAAACAGCTCCACAGCATCACCTCACTGTCACTGTCGAGCTTTGTCAGGGGAAGGGCACACCCTGGGCCGAGGACACCGGGTTTTCTTTTTCCCTTTTCTGCCTGAAACCCCAGACGAGAAAAAGAGCTGCAGACAAAGCCCACCCAGGCACCTCGCACTGTGCCTGCTCCCAGTGATGCAGAGCAGGGATATTTTTTCCCAAATCTCTCCGTGAGAAGCAGACAGGTTCTGTTTGAGCTGTGTAACCAGGAACAGACTGGGGTACCCAGCTGCTCAGCCCGTTTACTGGACCAGCTTTGCCGTCGCTTTAAGCACTCCAGGAAACGTTCTTGCTTAGTGTGATGTTTATTGCAAAAAAAAAAAAAAATTCCATTGGAACAGAGACTGACAGAGGTACATATTATCATAGATAATATTGCTTCAGTTATTCAGGTCCACGGTAGCTTCCTTCTTGGAGCAGTTCTTGGAAACAGGAGAGATGTTTAAAAGAGATCAGTAGGAGAGGAGCTGCCATTACCATAATACTGGAAAAAAATGCCTGGAGTTACAGTGTAATTAACTGCAGAAGGTCCCGGTAATAGTAGTCATCTCCCAAAAACATACATGCAAGATGAGATCAGCTCCCCAAATTGCTGTTACATACCGTAGGAGACTGCCCCCTCCCACCCAAAAGGAGAAGCAGGGGATGTAAATCGTTGTGTGCATGGTGATAGCCTCAGCAAATACACAGAGCAGCTCAGGAGGGAAGATTAAATTCCCCTGAGCTCCTTTAGTGTCTTCCATCATCTACCCTCAGCTCCTACCCCTGTCTCCACGAGCTTTTTCCAGCAAATTTTAGCAGGAAAAATTTGTTGCCGTGGTCAGGGGGCACCTCCATCCCACAGCTGGCTTTTTGCTGGTCGAACACAGCAAAGAGAGGAAAAAAAAGGTAAAATCCTACCAAAAGGCTTCTGCTCCCAGTGCTGCTTCTGGAAACCCTGCAACTGCAAAGCAACTGGCTGCAGCTGCTGCTCCGCAGCCTGTTTTGCTTTGCTGCTTCACCGGGGGAAAGTCTCTGGGAGCTTAAAAAAATCACCTGTTGCATACATGTTGTTGGACAAGTAGCAAACAATTTGCTGTGGTTTGGCAGCCACCATAAAATCAGCTTTTATACTGTCTGCCGTGCCCCCAAATTTGCAACTACGTTGTTGATGGCAACAAATAAATGCACTGCAGTGTAACTATTATCTGTGGCAGATTAACATGCTACCACTGTGTCCTATTTAAATGCGTCTTTCCATCAATAAACTATTCCAGGCGAGCAGCACCACACTGAGGTACACATTTATCAGCCAGGAGCGTAGCACTGTGGGGGCCTCGGTTCACACAGCTGCAGTTTTGTGCTTCATTTGGCCCAAAGCCGTGATGAACATGAACTCTGGTGCCTGCTGGTGCCATAAAAAAGCTGAGGAATGTAGTGGTTTTGCTACGCGAGGAGAGAAAGGCAATGCAGCAACGGGTGTGCTTCTGAGTATTAAAAATAAAATAAGAGTGAAACAACCCCCCGTGCTCCCCATCCCCTTCGTGGGATGCAAAATGCAGGCGGGTGGAAGCGTAGTGCTGGGTGCGAGGAGTGCAGAGGGGGAGGTGCAGCTGAGCCCCCGGCATCCCAGCACCTTCATTACCCGCTCCCAGCCCTTCCCTCCCCCCAAACGAAGGTACCAGACTTACCTTCCCAAGACAGTTCCCCACCATACAATTAACAGAACACCTCCCAGTATCAACAGGACGTTTCCCAGGCTTCTTTTTTCCCCTCCAACCCCCCTCATCTCCCCCCCTTCTAACTAGCTCAGTCCCTACTAGCAGTCAAAGCCCCGCTGCCATCAGAGGGCAGCCCTCTGGCTCCGTTCGGCCTCCCACGATTGCACCGTACTCACTTCACATCGAACAGACACGGTTCACAAACGGCACGAGGGGGGCGATCTCCCAAATACTGGAAAAACGGAGAGAGAAAAGCCTGGCTCTCAGGTCTGAAAGCCCAGCTCCATCGCCGTGCAGTTTCCCAGGGCTGTTTTGCTTTATGCAGTGCTGCCATCAGAAATTGCCTCCTCCAGCAGTTGCCCAGACAACTGCTACCGAGTTCCTTGCAAATACCACGGCGGGAAGAGGATTGCCGCCCCAGTCCTGTAAGGAAGGTGATTAGAGCAGTCAGTCAGCGTTTATGGCACAAAGGAAGGTGCAGTGGCTGAAGCTGTAGTGGATGTGGCGTTAAGGAGTGAGAGGGTTTACGGAGTGACCGCTTACTGAGCGAGGAACCAGGAGTCCAGAAGGATCCTCTCCTTCGTGCTTGTCCTTTTTTTGTTGTACAGATTCAAAAAGAGAAAAAGCAGACCACCACATTAGCTACTTTGTTCCTAGACACAAAATACGACGGCCTCCACGCCCAAATCCCCTGGGCTATGGCACACAGGCATCCTGAACGGGTTCCTGTCAGGCTGCAGGGAGGCTGGAAGAATCACTAACGGAAGGGGCTTTACCTCCAGAGATGCTTTAAGGGGTGGAATATCTTCTCAGGTGGTAACTGTAGATCTTAATGCAATGATCCCAGCAGTCCAGCACCAGCAGCTGCCCTTTGGGGGTAATGGCAATGCCAACAGGACAGGTGAGTCCTTCGCGGATCAAGATATTGTAGCCTCCTCCTTTGGGAAAATGCAGGATTTCTTTCCGGCTGCTGTCGGCAACGATCAGGTCTCCCCTGGCATCCACGCACATCCCAGCGATGCACCTGAAGTCTTCATTCTCGGAGAAGAAGTGGCTGATCTGGCGTCCCAGCTGCCCGTCGGGGCCGACGGAGCCGATGGAGAAGCCCCCTTCCAGGTGGTGCTCGTACTGGCGGTTCTCCAGGTTCAGCCCCAGCCCCTGGGTGAAGTAGATGGTCCCCTCGGCATCGCAGGTGACAAATTTGGGGCGCACCGCGCTGCACAAGCAGCTGTACTTCACCACCCCCACCCCACGGTCCACGGTGAAGCACCAGAGCTTCCCCCCTTCCACGTCAGTGACCACGAACTGCCCGGAAGGCAGCGCCGCGATGCCCCAGGGCTTGCTCAGCTGGCTCCTGTGGCACGCCACGCAGTGGCCATCCATGGTGTACACCTTGACCGAGTTGTCGTAGCTGTCGGTCACGCCTATCAGGCCGTGGCAGTTCATGGTGACCGAGAGGGGAGTCAGATTGGGCAAGTCTGCCCCGAGGAAGCTGAGCACGAAGCTGTCGATTCCGCTAGGGCTCCGGCGGATCTCCTTCAGGAAGCCCTTGCGGGTGAAAACCTGGATTCGGTAGTTGCCTCGGTCTGCCACGAGCACCTCTCCTTGCTGAGTGACGTGGAGGCTGACGGGCAGATTGAACATCCCCGGCAGGCTGCCCTTGGAACCCATCCTCTTGATGAAGTGACACTGCTGGATGCTTGCGGCCGCTTCGGGCATCCTCGGCTTGGCTGGGGAGGCATGCGGCGTGCAGCTGGCCTCCTCCTGCAGCTCAGGCTCCCGGAACGACACCGAGGAGGAGGAGGAGGAGGATGCGGTTTCCATCAGCGATTCCTCCACGTTCACCGTCCGGGGTTTCTTCACCACCTGCCCGATCTGCAGCGGCCCCACGTGGCTCACCTTCAGGAGCTCAACCTCCTGCAGGGTCAGCTCCCTCGGGAGACTGTTCGTCAGCTCGGGCTCCTCCTCATCTGCCGCCTCCTCCAGCAGAGCTATATCTCCCTGCTTTATTTTGGCGAGGAAATAATCACAGCGAGACAGAATCTGCACTTCTGCTAAGTTCAGCAGATAAGCTTGTTCCTCCATTACCTGATTATTTACCTTCTCCACTTCAGATAAAGAGGTGGTGAAGAACTTGCGTGACCTGGCAAGTTCTTCCTGGATCTTGCGCTCTTCTTTGCTGTAATCCTGCAGAACTGCCTTGTATCTCGACTGCAGGTCTCTCGAAACACCCTCCAGAGATGCTTTCCTTTTCTGCAGATCATCCATGAGCTCCCGAAGCCTGGCAAGCCTTGTCCCAAATTCCCTCCTACGCTCCTCAGCGGCCTCTTTGATGGCGATGACGCTGTGCCCTTGGGGCACGTGCGATGCCTCCTTGCAGGGCTCACACAGAACCAAGCCACAGCTCTTGCAGAAGTGCCTGGGCAGCCTCCTCCCGCAGACCTTGCACATGAGCAGCCCCACCACCTCCCCCAGCCCCGCGGTGTCTATGATCTTCAGCACCGTCAGGTTGTCGGTCAGCTGGGCCAGGTTGGTGATGCGGGTGATTTTGCTGCAGAAGGGGCAGCGTATGCCATTGATGCTGTTAGCCAGCAGCTTCTCCAGGCACTGCTTGCAGATGGTGTGCCCGCAGTGTAAGAGCTTGGGCCTCAGGTGCTCCTCGGTGAAGGACTCCATGCAGATGGGGCACTCCAGGACCTCGCGGAGCGCATCCGAGTTGAGATGAGGGGCAGAAGCCATGGCTTTCGAAGCCGCCTTTAGCCTGTGCCAAGCCCGGTACTCACATTTATTCCAAAGAGCTCCGATTCTGTCAAGAAAGAAAAAAGGAAACGTGATTTATGTCTTCACCAGCAGTTACACATACATGCAATTTATTTCTGATTTACCTCCCAGCCCTGGAAAATAAGAAACCCAGTTGGTTTTCCCACGTTTGGAAAGGGCAGATTAATCACAGCTAATCTCAGAGCGGGAAAATTCCAAACCTAACTTGCAGCGTCTAGCGCAATGAATTATTCACTTGCAAAATGTCTAAGTAGAACTGAAAGAAGTGTAATGGCAGCAATAAGGAAGCCCAATAGATATTGATGACTGAATCATCTCCTCATGGTGCCCATCTCCCGCTGCCAAGCATGCGAGTTTACATAATTTACTCCGAAACCCGGGGAGATTAAACCAAGCGTTCAAACGTTGCGCATCAAAAGAGGAACCAGATGGTGCGATGCTTTAGGCCATTAATGCATCACCTCTGGAGACCTACATTCAGATATGACATCAGATACAAATGAAATAAATGTGGTTGCTTTAATCTGCTCCTCTAGATAGCCAAAACAAATGTTCGAGGTTTCGTGCGTTTGCCAGGAAGTAAAGCTGGGAGGGATGATTTGTCAGCTTCCACTCGCTGAGAATTACCGCGCACAGGGAGGACGCACGGGGAGGACCTCACGCCAGGGCCTCCCGTTAGCCTCTGCCACGCTGCATCGTGCTTCAGCACGCAGACAAAACACAGCTCAGGCAGCGGTGTGCTAGCAGGGGTAAGCAGCTGAAGGGAGTTCACAGAACTCCAAACACTTGGTAATACAGACTGCAAGCGTTCGCTGCGAGTTCTCGTGCTTAGCTTAATTGTATGTAATTTCTCCTCGTGTCGTGCTCCTGTAGCACTGCCCTCATTCTTACGTTTTGGTTCTGTTTTTCAGTGCCGTGGTTGCCATTCAGCTTCAAACCAGGTTTCTCCAGCCCCACATCCCTCTCAGCGGGGAGCAGATCCCAGCAGCTGTCTCGCTAAAGCAGCCAGCCATTCAGAGGGAACAGAGCAGGGCTCGCATCATTAAGTTATTATTCAGCAGACTGGGTTTCAATACCTTGGCTATTGCCTTGCTTAGCCTTTAAAAGAAACGGGGAGAAAACATTTCCTTTAGAGGGAGAGGAGGAGAAGGAAGTAGTTAGTCTTTAAAATGAAGAGCTGGTCGCAGAGGGATGTGAACAGACAGCTTTTTCTGAATAATGGCTGCACGCACGCAGCACTCTCGCTTCCCTGCTGCGTTTGCCTGCTTCATCCTCGGGAGCATTTCAGACAGAAAGGTTCAGTGTGTTTCAGCTCAGCGTTTGCTCAAGTGGAAAGAGACAACTGCAGTGAGGAAAAGTTCTTTATGTTCGTACAGAGGAAAAAAAAAATCATTTTAATTTATTGGTCCAGCGGTTGTTTAAGGCCCAGATTTCAGGGACTGACTCAGTGGTGGGGCAGAATCCCCGGCAAGTCCCAGGCTGGGATCTGATGCCCGGCTGCCCGGGCTGGTGGCACGGTGAATGTCACACGGGTGGCACCTGGGGGGCTGCAGCAGTCGGGGTGCTGGCACCAAAGAGGCTTCTCTTGTATTTGTAGCCATTGTGGAAGGAGAAACTTGGGCACTGCCATGTAGATCAGGAACATTCCTCTGGGGGATGAAGAGCTGTATTTTAAAGTGATTTTTTAAATAACGGAATACAAGATCCAAGGTTCATTATTATTTTCCCTGAAAATACGCCAGAAAACTTGCATAGGGAAGGATGAGGCACAAGTGCTGACATCTGAAAATGCGAGTTATTTAAGAAGCTGCCTCCCGAACAGGTGCTGGCATCAGCATGAGATGGCAAGGGGAGTTTGTTTAGGTTTACCTCCCGTCCAGTTTTTTGAACGATGACGTGCACGATGTGCTTTTAACACGTAAACCCCTTGTGTCAGGATGCCGGTACACATCTCAGTGCTGTGACATCCCCCTTTGGCTGCAGCGTTACCCCACAGCCAGCTGTGCCCTGCGTCCTGGGCACGTTCCTGGGGCAGATTATGGTTCTGGGGCAGCTCCTGTGCTGCAGGGCAGGGCGCTGGGGGCAGCCTGAGCATCGGGCCGGCCTTCACATTCGCATTCCTCGTATTCAGCCGATTTCCTTGGGGGTCCTTCCCCGTCCTCGGTGTCTCCGTGCTGCCCTGCCACAGCTTCTCGCGGCCTCTAGCCTCTATGCAGCACAGGCTGTGGGCACAGCGGGCTCCCCCTGCCCTGCTCACCCATCCCCACAGCCCTCAGGCTCTGGCTGTTCCCAGCTCCAGCTTTATCCCCACATTCCAGCTTTACCCCGGCCCCAGCTCCCTCAGGACCCCGTTACCCGCTCCCCGCCCCACCACCAGGCTCCATTTCCACCCCCAGCTCCCGGTTTCCCCCCGGTTCTGCCTCTACCCGCTCCCATCAGCCCCCCCCTTTACCCCCAGCCCTCCCCTTTATCCCCAGCCCCCCATTTTGTCCCCACCGCCCTCCTCCCGGCCCCGTCTCACCGCAGCCGCCCTCGCAGCGCGGCCTCCCCTCAGGGCCGCCCCCCCCCCCCCCCCCCCCCGGCCCGTTCCCGCCGGCCCCGCCCCCCCCCGCGCCTACCTGCCCGCCGCTGCCGGGCCGCTGCGCGCCGCTCCCCCGCCATGCCCGCGCCGCCGCGCCGCCGTGACGTCAGGGCGCCGGGCCGCGGGGCGTGCTGGGAGTTGGAGTCCGCGGCCTGCCCCTGCCTGCTTCTGTCAAGAATAGTTAAAAACATATATATATATATATATTTTTCATTTTTCCACGGTTTTATTACACTATATTCTGCATTGAGGTTCCTGCCTATCAATAAAATTAAAAATCCTTTTTTTTCCCCCCATTTTTCCACAGTTTTCTCACACACCACTCTGCACTGAGATTCCTGTCAATAAATATTTAGATTTTTTTTTCAGTTTTTCCCCATTTTATTACACGCCATTCTGTGCTGAGACCCCTGCCTGTCAATAAACGTTAAAAATCTTTTTTTTTTTTTCATTTTCCCCCCGTTTTGTTCCACGCCACTCTGCGTTGAGATTCCTGTCAGTAAAACTTCGAATAGAAACAGAATGGGAAGTTTTTGTAGAAACTTAATAGTCTTTTTTTTTCTTTTCATTTTTTCCTGTTTTATTACACAACATTCTGTATTGAGATTCCTGTCAATAAAACATAATCATCTTTTTTTTTTTTTTATTACCATTTTTCCCCGTTTTCTTACACGCTATTCTGCATTGAGACTCCTGTCAATTAAAACTAAAAATCTTTTTTTTTTTAATTATGATTTTTTTTTCAATTTTTTCCCCTATTTCCTTACACACCCTTCTGTGCTGAGGCTCCCACCCGTGTCCCTGTATTCCGATGGTTTTCTCCATCCTTCTCCACCCCTGCGGGGCCGCAGCCCCTTTGCCTTCAGGCTGCCTTTGCCTGTGGGGCCAGCGCCTCGGCCGGGTTTCGGGTCTCACACCACAGCCCTGCGTTATCAGCCCCTCTCAGAAACCACTCTGAAGCAGCACAAAAATGCCTATTTTTAGATGCAGATGTAATCAGTTGATTGGGTGGCACACAAAAATATTGCCAATGAGTAGATCCGCAGCTGCAGCTGCTTACTGGAGCACTTGCATGGGGCTCCTCCTGGCACTAATCCCTCCCTCACAGTAGCCCAGATGCTGGCAGTGGTGGCCAGCGAGCGGTGCAGCTGCAGTAGTGGGAAATCAAAGGTTTGGGGGGAATTGTGCACTTTGGGGATGGCTCCTCAGTCAGGGGAGAGCTTTGCCTGGTGTTGAAAGAGGCGGCGCTGCTGGGGTTTGGGGATTCAGGATCAGAAGAGCTGAGATGGACGAGGTGCAGGAGGTGGCTACCAAACACGAGCTGGACCACGGGGCGCTGTGTGAGGGTGTCTGAACGGAGACGTGCTGCGGGGAGACCTCCGTAATTCCCAGCCACACCATGCAGGGGACAACAGCCAGGGCTCGGAAGCAAACCCTGTGGCCACCATGCTCCTTTTTACATGTCCTAACACCTCAGAGGAAAACAAAATCCATTTGCAGCGCCTTTCCTGCAGCCTGTCAGTGAGGCTCCTGACCATTGGTGCTTCCTCTGGCAGGGCTCAAGCCAGCACCAGCAGCCTCCAGGGCACGCTGTGAGCTGTCACTGCAGGGTGGTCAGTGGGACTGTGCCCACAGCAAAACCAGGCACAGGGTGCCCCTAGGAGCTTTATTCAAGAGCTTCATGTTCAGCTTTCTGCTTCCCGCAGGGCTAACGTGTGAGGGTGGAGGCTGCCATTTATGAAGCTCTTCATAAGCATTGAAAAATTCTAGAAGATGTCATAACTTTCTGTGAGGCCTCCTGTAAAAGCTGTCACATCTGTGCCCAGCCTCTGCACCTTTTCCTGCCATTTTCTTCAGCAGCCCCAGGGTGCTGCAGTGGAAGCGCAGGCTGTGACCGCGCTGGGGTTGGCTCTGCAACCCTTCCCAAAACACAAAGAGCCACCTAGGAGGTTGCTTCTGTCACCACCTTCTTGCTGTGCAGATTTTAACGTGCTCACAGCACGTGCACTCACCCAGACTCATCCCTCTCCGCCTCTCACACATGGGAGGTAGCAAAGGATGGCAGCTCTGCCGCACATCACGGGCTAATGAGTAGTGTCATTAATCATGTAATCAGTCATTTCCCTCCTGCCTCTTCCCTCCTCCTTGTCGTCCCTTTGACCTTTCTATCAGATCACTCTTCTCCCCATCAGATGGGCTCTGACGGCTGAAATCAGAGGCAGGATTTCAGCAACCCGATCGTGGCTCTGCCCTGGCATTTTGTAGGGTGGTGCTGGTGTGAGGAATATCGGTAACACGGGTCCCACTCCAGCTCGAATTTCATTCAGGAGTCTTCAGGCTGCTTCACTGATAGCAGAGAAATGAGTTTTACTGTGACCCAGCGGTGCAGTGCAGCAGATCAGGAAATGGCCGGGTTTGGGGCTTCTTCTGTGGGAACACAGGTTGGGATCTGTGGCATGGAGAAGTTCCTTCTGTGGAAGATGTGAGCTCTCAGAATAACTGTTTGCCATAAGCGTGGGGCTTCTCCATCCATGTGTGCAGGGAGGACAGCGCAGCCTGCACCATCCTGCAGCCGTGGGGCTCAGAGCTTACACTGCAGGGCACAGTGCATCCTGCGTGGGGTTTGCTGACCCCAGCAAGGACCAGGAAACAGCAGAGAGAGCAATGCAGGCAGCGAAGGCACTTGGAGACAGAGCAGATGCAAATCTGGGCTTGTCTCACAAAGGAAAATGAGTGAGATTTATGTTCTCCTGATTTCGTGCTGTGCTTCAGGCTCCACGCGACAAACCTCAGCGGGAAGCTGCTGAGCACAAATCCCTGAGGTGAGCTGTGCCCAGGGAGGACGTGGGGCTCGCTCCCACCTCCGGGCATCACCGCTGCATCCAGGTCAGAGGCGGTTGTGGGAAATGCCCCCAGCCCTTAGGGAAATGCAGCAGGTAAGGCTTGGTCTGCCGGGTGGTCCAGAAGGGTGGCCTGACCCTGAACGAAGGTCATGCCATGCCCCGTGTCGTGGTGGGCTGCACCACAGTGAGCTCAGGGACAAAGATCCAAAGGGTGAAACTCCCTGGGAGTCCATGGGAGATGCTTGTTCAGTGATGTATTTTACAGGGTGTTCAGTGATGTATTTTAACATCAAGGTGGATGTTAGGATTGAACCAGCGTGGTCTGGCAGATTCTGTGAGGGCTCCCACACCTGAAAATGAACAGTATGAGGAAATAATCCTATAATGCATCCTGGAGAAAAAAGCAAAGGACTCTGTGGACTTGGTTAGAGGTGGTGACAACAAGCCAAGGCTGTTACCCAGTGTGTCAGGGCACGGGGACCCTGCACCGTGACAAGGAAGGGCAGGGAGGACACAGAGCAAACAGCCCATGGGAGCCAACAGCAGCGATCTGGGGGTTGTGGAGCTGTCCTTGGGGTCTGCAGTGGCTCGGAGGCAGGAAGCCAAGCACCACTGATGATGCTGAGGATGTGGTGAGCAGGGCAGGGCTTTGGTATGAACCAGCACAGGCAGCGGGAACAGTGCTGGGCTCTGCAGGGCTTGTAACAACGAGCTCACCGGTGGTACCCGCGCTGCCCACTTCTAGAGGGGTTTGTTTGTGTGCCCTAAAAACCCTCCTGGAGGTTTTTCATTTATTTATTTGTTTATTTTCTTTCCCTGAATGCCCTGGACTTGCAAAGCTGTTCTTCACGGTGTTCAGGAACATCTCCTCTGTGGTGTGTCAGCTGCAAGCAGCAGGCAGAGCAGGGGCGGCGAGCGGGGTGCCCGCAGAGGGAGGCAGCGGGACGCAGGGGGCGCGGGGGGCTCGAGGGGGTGGGAAGGGTCGGGAATGCCCCAAAGGGAGGAGGCTGCTCCCGGGGGCTGCCAGAGCAGCTCCCCAGGGTGTGGGGCAGCCCTGAGGGCGAGAGCCGAGGGGCTGGAAGGGCTGCGAGCCTGCGTTTTGCAGCCCGAGAGCCACCAGAGGGCAGCAGGTCCTCACGGACCAAGCTGGCCACAACTGCCCCTGCAGCCCCACCGCTGGCACGGCCACACGCAGCCCACCCCGCTCGGGGGGGCTCCCATGGGCACCCTCCTGCTTGCCAGCACCGGCACAAGGGATGCACTCGAGTCCCATGTCCCTGCCGGACAGGCTGCGGTGATGCCCAGCCCCAAAGTGCCCGTGCCGTCCCCGCAGGATACCACGCCGAGGGATGGATGGAGGCATTGCTCGCGGTTCCTCGGCGAGCTCCTGTGTGCCACAGCCTGGTGTGTGAGCCCCAGACACACAGGTATTGCTGGCTGATGGGTGGCTCGGCCCTTACGGTGTGTCCTGGGTGGCAGCAGGGGCTGGCACCGTGCTTCCCGTGCACATGGCCCCACGCACCCCGAGAGGGTTCCCCGGCCATCGCCCCAGCCGGCAGTGATGGAGCCGGCCAAGCTCTGCACAGCCCCGTCGGCTGCTGCTCTGACCACAGCTCACTGCAAGAGAAATTCCCAGGCAAACACGCCTATTGATTTCCTTTCTTGCTCCCCTTCGATGGATTTGCAAACAAACGGGGTGTTTTTCCGCCAGGTAGCAAACCAGCAGCTGTCTTGGCCATAAATCCCCACCTAAATCCCTAGCTGGTGGCCAGAATGTCCTCTGCCTCGTGTGGGAATGCAGAGCCTAAATTAGTCCCAGCTGATCAGGCTGTGGGTGTCAGCAGGGTTAACCCAGAGGTATCTCCACCTGGGTCTGTTCCTTAAATTTTCTCACAGCGTCAGCTGGAGAGCCTCCTCCTCTTCTTGTTCCAAGCTTTTCTGCTGTTGAAGAGCTACCACATCCTAGCCCTGATGTGGCTGCATTCTTGTGGTAAGTGGAGTGATTCCCGGTTTAGGAATGACTCGGGATCTTTTGGAAAAGGCATGGCTTAAAAGGCTGGACCATGAGCAAAACCATTGCCTCCCGGGAGCCCTCAAGACCGAAGAGCCCTCCGGCACCAAAGTTAGGTGCTCTGTTTGGTGGTTGTTACAGCAGGAGTGTTACCAACATTCCCTCATGTCCCAGCACCAGGAGGTGATGCTGTGAGGCTCTCCCCATGTCTCTAAGTGCTGCGTCCCCAGCAGGCACCGTGCTCACTGCAGGCCTTGCTGCAGGGTTGTTGAGTCCCAGTGGGGCACGGAGCCGGTGCCTCTGCCCGCCCCGTGCTGCTCATCCTCCTTCCTTACGCAAGGCTGGACGCTGAGCGGAAGGCTGCGATTTTATTTGTTGTGTTGTTTTTTTGTTTTTTTTTTTCTTTCTAAATACATATTTCAGACAAACAAACAAACTAATAACTCCCACAAGTTGCCGTGATGCGTCTAACCACATCCGTGGCGCTGTGCTTCCAAGCAGATGTTGCCAGGACTCACTGAGTCTCCAGCAGCATTATGAAAGCACGTCCAGATGCAAGGGCCGATAAGGAATCCCCCTGTCCCCCCCTCCCAGTGCTCTGCAGGCCCCGTGGCCGAGCCTCGCCGTGCTGCCAGGCCCTGCAGAGCTCCCCAGCAGTGCTCACCTGCAAAGGCTTTCCCTGAGAAGGAGGCAGAGGCTTGGAAGGAGCGCTCGGGGAGGTTACCCACGGGGCTTGTGCAACGTGGACCTGAACAATGAAGCTCAATTGACTCGGCCCAGCTTGCAGTGAAGACAACAGGAGTGCTGTTGAGTTCACATGGTGTTGCAGCGTTACGTTGCAGGGTCTGGTTCTGATTCTCCAGTCCAACAGCAGAAACTTCCTTCGGCTTCAGCAGCAGCAGGGCTGGGCCACGCGTACGTAAGTCCCAGCAGAAGCCAGTCAGCTGGCTCTCATTGCTGGTGAGCCCTCAGCAGCACCGAGGTAATAAAAGCCAGAGCAAGGCTCCAGGAGTGTGGGGGCTTCTCCAGCTCCCTGTTGGGTTTGCTTTGGGGAGCGGAGCTGTGCGTGCAGGCGGCAGAGAAAATCCCTTAAACCTCCCTCTGAGAGAGGGGAGAGGGAGGCACAGGGACCCCTCAGCTCTCCCTTGGCCCAAGGGGCAGCATCAGGTCCAGGAACAAACCCATGTATTTGGGGATACACCTCCCAGATCTCACTAACTCCTCTGTGCGTCGCTGCGAGTGACAAGTGATGTGGCTGGGAAGAGGGCAGCACGCTCTCCACCAAGGAAATCAGCTTTCTAGGGATGAGTGCAGCCTGGAGGCACCTGGGGCTGATGCTTTCATCCCAGAGCACATCGCCCAGGGGCAGCACTTCCACACCGCCTCTCCCCGGCCCTGGAGGAGCTGGCTGGTGAGCAGGTTGCGCTGCTGGCCCTCTCAGATAGGTTTTAATAGCAGGGACGGGGGGATTATTTTGTTAGGACTGTACTTAAGCCCCCAAAGCTCATTCCACAAAAGCTACCAGGAGCTGCTCTCCAGTGCTGATGGCTTCCAAGTGCTCATCTGGATAAGAGCTGGCAGTGAAGCCCGTCTCCCTCTGCTGAGCCACGTCCTATTGCATTTTCCTCATTTGGAGTTGTACCCAGAGCCTCTGCAGTACGAGGGAACACCGTGAATTAGTTTCCAGCACCCTGAACTGTTAACCTCAGCTGTAGTAACCCCTCCCGGCCCTGGGAACCCAATCTACAAAGCAATTCCTTTCCCCAAAGTGCTTGGAGCTTCAACCGCAATGGAGAGGATTAAATGCAGACACCCGTTACCACCTCACCTATGAAATCCGCCGTGCTGACAAGTCTGCCACCCGTCACCTGGCTCCACGGTCAATCTTCTGTGGCTGAGAAGGTGGCTGCGAAGAGCGGGGAGCTGTGCTGTGCACGCAGCCTCCCCGAGGAGCCGCTGCTTTTCCACCTCGTTTTATTTGCAGCCCTCTGCTGTGCCCCGTGTGCAGCTCCATTCGGTGACTGCTGCTCCGAACAGCTGTGCCCGACCTGTGTTTCCATTAGGAGGATGGAGGAGCCCTCATCTTCGTGCCTGTCCCTTTGGAGAGCTCTTTCAGCCACCACCTCCAGCGCCCTGCCACCGGTGCCGTTTCCTGGCAGTGGAGGATAAAGGAGGTGGATGGAGGGGCAGGATGTCCCAGCAGGGTTAGCTGTCCTGCAGGGAGGAACTCATGCTCAAAGGTTTATTTTACTCCTTACTCACCTCAGCTTGCTCCTTCCAAAGCGAGGTGGCAGCTGAGGAGGACCAGGGGAGGCTGTTCTTCCCGCGTATCCATCCCACCCCGCAGTATTTGTTGGTACTCTGAGAGCCCCCGAGGCCACAAGCACCATGCACAAATGCACCGCGTGCCCCGTGCTCTCCGAAGCAGAGGGGACGCAGGCAGAGAGGCCCAGAGCAGAGAGCCCAGAAATGCTCCTGAAATGAAGCATCCCCACCCAGCCTGGGCTGCCACCGGCTCAGGAAGGAAGGTTTGATATCCCATTGCCATCGTGAGATGAAGTGATTCGGCTTTTCTGCTGTGTGCTCGTGTTCTCCCTTACTGCGTGACTCCAAAACTTCATCCCGTGGAAGAGCTGACTGCTTGGGCTCTGGTGAACAAGCTTTGCAGCCTGAACAGTCACTGTTGTCTTTTTTCTCCTCTTCCTCTAAGTGCCTTTCAGTGGCTGTGTTACAACAAGAATTGGTCTGATCCAGAGGCCAGGAGAGGCTCAAGCTTTGCCTCGTAGCCTCCCTCTCCACGAGCCACCCGGTTGAGCAGTGCCATGGCTTTCCTTTATGCAGTTGCCTGGAGCCACTCTCCCAGAAGACAATCTTTCCAAGAGCCAGCTCTGAGGCTCTTTTTCCATGTCTGTATATCCCAGTGCCTCCCAGATACAGAGACACCTCCGCCACCGCCTTGTTTTAATTTATCTTAGCAACTGTCCCCCTAATCCCACTGGAGGACGGGCTGCCTGGAATTTGCTCGTCTTCCCGTGACGGCTTTGATCCTGCGCACGTAAGTGTTCCCTGACAGCCTGGCAGAAGGGGAAGGGCTGTCCCTAGCCCGAAGGGCTCCGAGAGGAATGAATGAATGCTGTGTTTATTTGGATTTCTAATTGACAAGTGCCTCGCCAGATCAGCTGCATGTCACTGCAAGCCGAGGGCACGGAGACAAAACTCCTTCCTTTGCAGCAGCTTCTCAGGATGGGGAAGTTGTTGGTGAAGGCAGCATCCGTCCCCATCTGGTGCCATGAGCCCTGTTTGGGCACAGCACAAGAAAGGTTTCTCTTCTGTAGGCCATGAAGGTTGGGTCTTCCTTCTTCAGTCAACCCAAGAGGAGAGCTCTGATTAAAGAGTTAAATCAGCGGCGTACAGCACGAAGATGGGACTCCTGCCTTCTCATCTCGGGGTATCTCCAGGTGCAATCCTTTCCTGGACCTCACTGAGCTTTTGGGCCAAGTCAGAAAAAAAAAAAAAGTCAGTCTTTCTGGGTTTCTCTCCCCGTGGATTAGAGCACCAGGAAGCTTCACCATGGGTTTCCAAGTCCTGAATGTTTCCTAAAAGCAGGGTCTCGACAGCTCGGTGTTGGAAATGCTCCCGTCTGTTCCCCCTGTGGTGAGACCGTTCTGTTCTGCCACCGAGCCTCTCTGCCGTGGGACTTCATCCCATGCCAAACCTGCTTGCCTTCGCTCAGTCTCAGTGCCCTGCCTGATGCATCACCCAAACAAAGGGCACGGGGACCGGGGAGGGCAGGTGCTGGGGTGGGGTGAGGGCCCTCGGTCCCTGACGAGTCCCTTTGGAGAGGTTTCTCCTGGCAGGGAAGATGCACTCGGGTGGTTTTGTTTCATTGCAAAGCGCAGAAAGCGAAGATGCAAATCGCAAATAAAAGAGGAATGAGGACACGGTCACTTCTAGAAGTGTTTGGCTGCAAATGCTCCCGCTTTCGACCTGCTCCCCAGCAGTGACCTGCCAGCCCTGGTTTTCTCCTCTCCTCGACCTTTCTGTTTTCCTGCTCCCACCTGGCCCACACCTCCAGCAGCTGCATTTATCCTGGCTGCAACGAAGTTTGGCTTTGGGGGAAAGGATCATGCTGAGGTTTCCTTCACCCTGCTTATTTTCTCCCCTCTCTCTAAACCAGAAACAACGGAGCTCGGCAACAAGAAGGAACTGAAGTCCATGCCATTCATCACCTACCTCTCGGGGCTGCTGACTGCACAGATGCTGTCTGACGACCACCTCATCTCCGGCGTGGAGATCCGCTGCGAGGAGAAGGGGCGCTGCCCGTCCACCTGCCACCTGTGCCGGCGCCCGGGCAAGGAGCAGCTCAGCCCCACGCCCGTGCTGCTGGAGATCAACCGCGTGGTGCCCCTGTACGCCCTGATCCAGGACAACGACACCAGGGAGGTGAGTGAGCGGGTGGTGGAGCACCCTGGAGCTGCCTCTGTCTCCATGTGGGGGAAGCACGAGCGCAGCCGGAGGGAATAAGCAGCCCCTCGGGACGGGCCCGCAGCCACAGGAGGTCACTGTTACTCCAGGAGGGACCAGCAAAGCTGGAGGTGACCCTCCCCTGGGGCTGGGCTCCTCTCCTTCCTGTGAAAACTTCAGTGGTAATCATCTGGAGATTTATTGCCCACTTTCTCTGTTCCCTGCAATCCCCTCCCAACCCCCTCTGCAGCCCCCTAACCCCAAATCCAGGAATGCCAGACCTGCTTAAAGTCACTTATTAGCACCGAGCCTGCACTTGATTAAGATGCAGGGAGAGAGCCAGCGCGCAGCAGCTATGGGTGGGACATGGGGCTGCAGGTCTGGAAGCAATCCCAGCAACCTGGAGGTGTGACCACCAAGAATGATTCTTCCCCCTCTCCCAGATCCACGGGCAAAAGAGCTGCCAGGCTTCTCCTGGCACCCTTATGGGGACTGGTCCTCCTTGGGAACCCCTTGATCCCGTTCCTGCTCTTCCATCTGTTAATTTTCCTGGTGCCTCCAGCAGCATCCTTCCAGCAGCAGGATGGCAGTTCCTTTTGTGGGGTGAGAGGTGGGTGAGGTGCGGGGAAGGGGCTGTCAGTGACAGCGAGCAGAGACCTGGGGCACCCACACTGACCCTGCTGAGCACCAGCCCTGTGCCCTGGCAGCAATGCCACCCTGCCAGAGCTGCAAAGCGCCCTCCTCCTCCTCCTGGAGGGTGCCTTCCTCCTCCTCTTCCTTGTCCTGGGGAGCCACAGCCTGCCTTTCTCCAGCCTCCTCCTCCTCCTCCTCCCTGGGCTCAGCAGAGGGCTGGTCCCATCGGCTGCAGCTGGAGGACTGCCCGCATTGTGCTGTCCACCGAGGCGCTGGGGAGAACAACAACCAACCAAACAAACAAAGCAGACCCCAAAGAAGCAAACCTCCAGGTGCTGCCTGCACGGGGCAGGGTGCTGGAGCCTTCCTGCCAGCGGTGTGCGATGGGCAAACCTCCCCAGCCTCTCCCAGGGAGGTGGAGCTGGCAGTGGTCAGGTTTTTTGGGGGGAGAGAGAGACCAGCAGGAGGTTATTTGCTCTGAGAAGCCATCCCCTGCATGGTGGGACCCAGCAGGTGTGCCTGCTTCCCCTGCCAACGTGCTGTGAAGCTGCAGATTTCAATCGCTGCCTCGCTCTGTGCACCAGGACGGGTGCTCGAGGGGGCTGTGCTGCCAGCAGGGTCTGGTGCAAGGCCCGCAGGGTGCGACTCCCTTTTCCAGCATCACTTTGCAGTCTGGGGGTGGTCCCAGGCACTGGCAGTGTGGCATTTGCCTGTGGCATAAACAAGATTTGCAGATGGCTGGGGTGAGCACTTGGACGCTGCAGTTCGGAGCACGGGAGGGTCCCTTTGTGCAGGGGGGGGGACATCGGGGTGGCAGGCTGGGGACAGGACCACACCAGACCGGCCACGTCCCTCCCCTCCCAGTGCAGCATCCACAGCTCACAGCTCTCCTGCCTGCTGTCCTGCTGTTTGTTCCCCATTTCTGTGGATAATAACTGGTAGAGCAGAGGCTGACCCCATAGGAACTGCAGTCAGATCCCAATTCCCTCATAGAAGTCAAATAAAAAACAAAGAAGGGGGGGACACACAACCCAAAAATTCAGATCTTTCTCTTTGCATGTATGTACACTTCGACTGTTACACATTATTGGAAAGGTCGTTAGGAAGGAAAGGTTTGCTCAGGGATGCTCAGATCTATGAGGTTCTGCTGAAGTTTTCTATGATAAGCCTGGCCGCAGAGATAAGGCAGGCTGCAGGTAAAGAAATGTTGCCCATGGCTTGCAGGAGGTGTGTCTGTTCATCCACCTCAGCAAAGGGAGTTACACACTGGTTAAAATTTACAGCTACCTCGTGCACAGGGCCTTGTGCTGGGTTTCTGATGACCTTGCCAGACTTTAAGTGCTGGGATTTAAGTTTCCAGGCTGAGTGTCTGCCTTGGGCTGATTTGTGATTTTTTTTTTAATTATTATTATTTTTTTTGTATGCATGCATGTTTGATTTCAGCTAAAACTGAGCATTTCCAAGAGAAAGATTAGGTGACAATATATTGCCTTGCCCACGTGAACTAGGTTGGAAAGCTGCTTATTTCCACGTAGCTGGGGATGGCTGTTTTCTCCTCGCTTTGAAGCAAGGACATGAAATCTAGAAGGGCTCCAGGAGTCAGGTTCTGCCTCGTGCTGCCCAGGGAACGCTCCTCCGAAGCCATTTGTGCCGTAAGCATCAGGAAACCCTCAGCTGTGGCTGATCGGGGGGAATTTTGGTTTATGGCTGCAGTTCAAAGCCTCTGGTCAGCCCCCGGCAGTGTAAACGGTTCCCTCTGTGGCTTAACAGCATTGTTGGAGGGCTTGCACGGTCACTGATACCTGGGGACTGCGCTGGTGCTAGGGCAGGGACATCCCAGGCTGCTGCTGCCATCCAAGGACACACGGCGATTTCAGGCTTTGTCCAAGAAAACGTTCCTGAAAGGCGATCTCAGCTGCCCCAGGAGCTCAAAGCTTCTGGGGAGGGGGGCGAGAAGAGGTGTGGGCCAAGGAAACGTGTTCAGAAGTGCAGGTACCTTTTGGAGAGCGTTGTTGGATGGCTTTTCTGTAGCCATCACAACTGCTTGTGCCCTGTAGCAGTGCAGGCACCAGAGTGGTTAAAGCAAAGATCCCTCCATGGCTGTGTCCGGGTGAAACTGGAGGAGATTCTTCATTGTGGGATTGTGGAAGAAACCTGCACCCGTGTCCGTGGCTGGGCAGACCCAACAGCAACCAGCCTCTGCCCATTTTGTGCCTTTCTGCTGAAAGAAGTGCCCAGGAGAGAAGAGAGAGCTGGTGGCTCTGTGTGGTTTCCCTCTAGTGAAGGTCCCAAAGCCAAAGGAGAGGAGAGCTGCACATCACCCCAGCCAGAGAGCCAGTTCTGGTGGCCTTCCTCCTCCTCGCTGCTCCACCGAGATAATCCTGCCCAGCTTCACCCCATGGGACCGGCAAAACGCTTCTCTCCCATGCAGCTGTGGGATTGACAAAGAGCCCAGCTCACCTCGATAATCACCGAGAGGCACCGAGAGGAGACAGCGGGCTCCCCGGGACGAGCGGGGACACCCAAATCCCCATCCCTCCCACCCCGACACGGCCCTGGGACCTGGGGGAGGCAGGGGCAGGCGCCTTCAGCAGCGAGCTCTGTCTGCTTTGTGCGCTGTTCTCCCTCCTCCCTTTCCTCCCAGCACAAACACACACACACAAACCCCACGGCTCGTGCGGAGCAGCTGCAGAAGTGCTTAGAGGGTGGCGGGCAGGAGAGATTTATCCTGCTCCTGCTGGGGAAATGCACTGAAGCCCCGTTGCTTGTATTTAAGGAGACAAATGGACATTGAGCTTGGATTTTAGAAGACCCCTAGGACCTTCGTTTAATTTGAAAATTGAGTAATTTCAGCGTTCGTCTGCAGCCACAAACCCCTCGCAGCGCACCCAACCCAGCCCGCAGTGTGGAGGGAGCGTGGGGCTGGCCGGGATTTGTCTCCACCGGGCTTGACAGGTGCCCAGCACGTGGCTGGGACCCCTCCAGGGCTCTCCGTGTGGCCAGGAGCTGCTTCGCCACCTGTACATGCTTGCACCAGCGGTGTGCGTGTGCCGGAGCAGAGGTACAGGTGGTGGTGAGATGGTGGCAGTGGTTTTGGAGAGCGGTGCCGCTTTTCCTCCCTGGTTCCTGCTGATCTCTGCACCCTTCCCGGGTGCATGCTTTGCCCTGACGGCTGCATTTCAGCACAAGTGCAAAGTGCAGATGGCTCTGGCATCTCCTGTCGGTGGGATTTGGTCAGATCTCAGGGTCAAGGTTGTCTCCTACTTGCTGTTCATATGATGATGTGGGACGGAGCCTTACCCTGGCTGTATGCTTGGAGCACCGCTGTGCCTTTACCCCAGCCCTGAATTACCCGGAGGGACACTGAGAGCCCGTAACGGGGTGAAACACCCCTCAGACATCCACCACCACTCACTGGTCGGGGTGAGGGGGAGCCCACCCTGATCTGTGCAGACAAGACTCACGCTGGGGCTCTCCAGCACCTGGGCAGGGAGCTTTCTGTGTGTCCCTGTTGCGTGGCCTTGGGGACGTGGCCCTCGAAGGGCAGAGCAGGGGGAAAGGAGCCCAGGCTCAGCGCCGCACGCAGAACGTCGTCCCTCCCTGTGTCTTTTCCGGAGCAGCCTCCAAAGGCGCGGGGAGCTGGTGCCAGTGATTTCTTTTTCCACTGCCAAAACCTGAAAGGGAGCCAGGGCGAGCGGGGACAATGTTTGTATTGTCGAGGTGAGATTTATTTATTTTTTTTTGGTTGTTGTTGTTGTTTTGGTCTGGGCTTTTGGGTTTGGTTTTGCTTTATTTGAATATCTGTTAATTGGCCGTCCTCCTCCTCGTGCCAAAGCCCGGCACTTGTGCATCCCGACGCAGCTCCAGCCCACATCCGACTCGCGTTAGGCGGGGGAAGAATGGAGGCATTGTAACCACCCCGGGGGGAGCTTCGGAGCCGAGGTGTGAACGGGGCCGCTCCCTGCCCTGCGAAGGCTCTCCTTTTCCCCCGCTGCCAGCTTTTACGGTGTCCTCTGCTGCTCCCTCGCTTCCCATCGCTGCCAGAAGCCAGGATGCTGCCCACCCTGGGTCCCTTCCAGCACCCTGACCTTTCCGGCAGACCGCTGCAGAGCCTTCCCGGGATGAAGTGCTGCTGATGCTGCTCCCCCAGGCCCGGCGGCCGGAGGCAGGCAGGGTGTGAGCAGCAGCAGATGAGATCACCTGCCAGCAGCAGCGGGGAAACTTCATCCTCCTTCGCCGCGAACCTGGAGCAGACTTTCAGACGCGAACTGCGTGATCCTGGAAAGAGTCTCTGGCCTGGGAAATCCTTCATTTTCCTCCTCCTTTCTGTTTGTTTTCCTCCTCCCAGAGATGTCTAGACGACTAAGGAGCAGCGTTTATCTCCTGTGAGCCTCACTGTAAGGGCACGGAAAGCTTTTCTTCCAGCCACCCTGTCGTGGTGATAGCATCCCGGCCAGGCTGTAAAATGCCTGCTTGATCCTGCATCCCCTGCTCTCCTTTCCCTTGATGAACAGGCAGCACTGCCGGTAGCTACAGGCTGCACGGAGTGTGGCAGCGCTGGGGAGCTGCACTCATCGGTGGCCTCAAAGAAAAACTTCTGAAGGAAGGCAATGCACAAACCACAGTGTGCCAAAGCCCCAGCTTCTGGTTCACCCAGGGTACCTGCAGCACATCAGCCTCCAGCCTCCTGCTTGTTTGCATTTTGTTTGTTTGTTTTTTTTCCATCATCTCCCTGAATTTCCTTTTTAATTCTAGCAGAAACTGAGGTGTGCCCACCAACCATAAAGAAACGTAGACATAAAGCATCACTTAGGCCAGATTTTCACATCCCTACCAGCCATGGAGAAGACCAGATCTGCGAGGGGAGATCAGCACCCAGCTCACACCCTTCCCAGTGCCCCATCTGGAAACAACGGGCTGCGTGCTGCATCCTGCAAATGCTGACCTGCAGTGTTCCTCGTGTCCTATAATTTTTCTCTCCGGGGATGTCAACAGCAAGCCCGCGGTCAGAAATAACTTGCTGCTTCTCCCTCCTGCAGCTAGGTCTAACAGAGGACAAAGAGGAAATGTTCTTCTCTGCTCGTTGCAGAGCGTCTGAGCTATAAAACGGGGCCAAATGGCCTCCCCCTGAGCACAAATAACAACAGGAGATAGATCCATATGCAATCGAGTGTAGGATGAATGTGCCTAGCTGATCATTCATTTCCTAATATTTTTTTTTATGAATAGGCTTAACTTATGGTAAGATGGGACTTTATGGTCCTGTAAGTCTTGCTCATGTCAAAACAAATGAACTAGCCATCCTATGGGGGAGCTATCAATCCGATATATGTGTGCGCATGGGTGTGGGGAGTCAGACCTATTATACCTTTAAGAGCAAATTAGATGCTGTTCCTATGATTCATAATGCTATATATCTAATGGCATGACTCGTCATCTAGAAAATAAACGTTTTGAGCCAGTTTCTCATCTCATAAATTTCCCCTCTGGCACTGAAGGACATAAACTAAATGGGCTGACTCACAGGCAAACAATACAATTTGGATACTTTTAAATGAAAGACAAAATTGCCTTAGGGCACGGAGGGGCGTTGAGATGCAGCTGGCAGAGCAGGGACAGCGCGGCCAGGGGGCAGAGCTGGTCCCGGGGAGCCCTTGCAGAGCCTGGTGGCTTTGTATGGCTCCCTGCCTTGGTGTGGCCACCACGGCCAGGCATCCGCTGAGGAGCTGGAGGTGCCGGAGACGGGCTCATAACTGTGCCTGCTGCCTCCTGGCGTGGAGGGGAGGCTGCAGGCTGCTGAGCGAGGTGGCAGGGAGGGCAGGAGATGCCCACAGGGGATGATGCTCTCGGTGTCTGCATGTTCTGCGACCAGCACCTTCCCTGCATCTGTTGTCCATTGCTCTTGGTCATCCTCTGCCACCGGGCTCCTGGGTGAGGCTATGGGAAAGAAGCACGGGCTTGGTCTGGACACTTGGCTTCAGGGCTGGGAGGATTACAGACAGAGCTCCCAAAGCTCCCTGAGACCCTTCATTTGTACCTGGAAGTTTCTGTGGGGCCAGCGAGCATCCCCAAGGGGCAGGCAGGAGACCCTACAGAGGGCACAAGAGCTCCATGCGCAAGGCGCTCCTTTCTGCACAATCTTATTTCCCCCTCAGTTTGCTCCTGCCACTTCCCCACCCTTGCAGGCAGGAAAACCCTGCAAACACCTGGCTGGGCATCCTGCTGGGCACTGGGGGAGGCTGAGCACCAGCGTGTGCTGTTCCTGCCGCTCCTCCGTCAGCGAGGGTTGGGAAATGGGAGGCTGCAGCCTGCAATTGGAGGCCGCATCGATTTGCTAACCTTGTTTGTGCGAGGGCTGACACAAGGCAGATGACGGCTGGGTACCTGCAGGATCTAATTACGACGTGGGTAAGGCTGGGCAGGCGCAGCGGAGGGGATTGCTCATCCAGTGTTGCACTTAGCATGGAAAAAAAAAAATACACCCAGAAAAGAAGGATTGACTCTTGGGTTTGGCAAAAGGGCAGGGATGGGGCGGGTGGGATTTCTTCCCCAGGCTGAAGGTTGTGCAGGGGGTTCGTGGCCAGGGAGGGAGCGTGCTGAGTGGCGGGGTTGGGGTGACAGCAGAGCGGTGCCACTGGTGTGACAGCGCAGAGAGTGCCAGCCTGCTGCTGTGACCAGGCAGGGGGACAGGGATCTGCAGGCAGCGAGCTTGTGGGGACAGGAGGAGGCACAGCACATCTGTGTGGGTGATGGGGACGGGGCAGGGCAGAGGGAGCAGGCAGAGGCATGGGGGACACGCGGGGTGGGACACGTTCCCTTGGACATCCCCACAGGGACCCTCCTGACACCCCCTTATGGCCCCTGGAGAGGGTCGAGGCTCTGGGCTTGGCACAGGAGAGGAGCTGTCCCTGCGCCTGTCCTTCAGACCCTTATTCGCAGAGCATCCGCTGCCCTGGTCTCTTTGTCATCCTGGATTTTTTTCAGACGACCTAGTTATTTGTCACCACCGCCTGCTGTGTGCGCAGAGCGCACCAGCTAGCTGAGGCAGCACGGCCGCTGCCTCCTGCCTGCATCCATCCAGCGAAGGGGCTTCGGTGCCTTCTGCAGCCCCCGAGGGAGCCCAGGGGCCGCTCCTGTGGCCCTCCTTCTGCTTCTGTCCTGCACAGACCCTGCAGTCCCTGCGGGCACGCACCCACACCCATCTAGCCGTGTGCCAGATAGGTTCCTTTCTGCCCTCCACGCGTCCCATTGCTTTGTGATGCCCTTTCCAGCCCGGTGCTTTAATTACTTCCTAAAGAACGAAATAAAATAACATCACATTTTCTCTCTCTCGGTGTTTTTTCCCCCTTCTGGAACAGTGCCGCTCCGTAAATGTCTGGGAGCAGAGGTATGGCAGAGGCAGGCGCCGCGCTGAAGGTGCCGGTGTGTTTGGGGAAAGCGGCACGACCCCAAACAATAGCAGCCCTGACGTCAGGCTCTATTTATACCTCCTCCTTTCATAAACGTCCCCGGGACGGCGCTTTTCCTACAGTTCTCTGCTAAATGCCACATCCCCCGGAGCTGTCCCTGTCCCCCCAAAGGGCACGCTTTATCTGCAGGGTGCGACCCGGCAGCGCGGGCGGTATCGCCGGGGCCAGGCATCCGCAGGCAGCGGCTCCCGCAGCACTGCCGGGCACGAAGGAGGGTCTGGGAAGGCAGCCCGGCCCCGAAATGTGCGTGCCAAAAGGTTAAAGGCATCACAGAGAGGTTTGTTTGAGCCGGTGGTGGGGTGGGTATTCTAGCGGAGTCGGTTTTAGCTCTGGCTGGGTTTGTGTGCGGGGAGAGGTGCTGGCTTCGATGCCCATGGGACAGGCAAAAGGGAGCAGGAGGAGCCACCGTAAAACCACTCAGTCTGAGCTGAGCAGCCTCTGGGGTGAGGGGTGCCCCGTCCTGGACCACGGGGACCCCAACCCAAGCTGGAGGCTCCGTGGGGTCAGGCTGGGGAGCTCAGTGTGAGAGGCTCAGCCCCGGATGGCAGCGGGTGGGCGCTGCTTTGGGGTCAGCTTGCACTGCGGGGAGCTCCTGGGCAGGCTGAGGGCAGGCTGCAGAGGGGAGGCTTCCAGCTGGAGAGCACCCACAGGTACCTGCTGGGGTTGTTTTTTTCTGATACTGCATTTCTTTTCTGGTGAATATTCTTTATGGGAGTGAATAAACCATCGGTTTGCTCGCAGGAGGCAGCGTGTGTAAACCTGAGGGATGGAAGTGGTGCGTGTTGTGGGGTCACTGCATGGGGTCAGAAACACCTGGGGCATGGACATGTGGAAAAGTTTTACTGCAACAGCACTGGAAGGTCCCCTAGAGGCGATGTCCTGTGTCACCAAGGGGCTCCTGTTTGTGTTTGGGGCAGCTCGGTGCACCACAAGAGCCCTCTGTGCATCGTGCCGACACTTCCCATCCCCACCCCACAGCAGCACAGAGGGGGAGCCCCAACCCCAATCGCTGTTATGAGGGAGCTGAAGCCCAGGGAGGTGAAACACCTCACCCGGGACAATGCAGGGAGGACCCTAAACCCCCCCAGCATTTCCCAAAACCCTCCCTGTGCACACGGCCGAGCTGCTGGCCGCCTTTCCCCGTGTCCTCAGCGCACACGTTCACGCTTTGTGCTCTCCCGGCAGGCTTTCAAGGGCGCCCTGATGAGCTCCTACTGGTGCTCGGGGAAAGGCGACGTGATCGAAGACTGGTGCAGGTGCGACCTCAACGCCTTCGACGAGAACGGACTGCCGAACTGCAGCCCCCTCCCGCAGCCCATGTACGTATCCCCGTATCCCCACCCCAGTCCCATGGGATGTGGCTCAGCCCCCGGGCACCTCCTGCCCTGCATCGTTGAGCCCAGGGCTGCGGGCCAGGGCGCCTCGCTGCCTGAGTGATGCCTTTAGGATATCCTGGCTCCGGCCGTGGCCCCTGGAAGGTTTCCTTCCAGATTTTCATCACCCGATTAGCAGGGCTCGGAGAACGGGATTTCAAATGCTGAAAGAAATGGAATTACAGCGCGATCCATTGCGGCTTGTCAGAGCGAGAGCAAATAAGGAGCAAAGTGATGGGGAATTAGCTGAGAAAGCAGGAAGACTGGCTCCAGCGAGCCACGAGGAGCAGAACACCTTAGCGAGCCAACATCCTCAGAGGGGAGTCTTTTCCCACCCCAAGTTCAACAAACACGCTCGCATGCTGGAGCCAGGCGCTCTGTAGCCCCGCGTTGTGTTGTGTTGTGTTGCAGCACCTCTGTGCTAGCACGGCCAGCAGCCCAAAGCTGCTCTGCCTGCCCCTGTACCCCACTCTGGTCCCCACAGCGCTCTGCATGCAGCTGCCCTGGTTTTCCTTTTGCTCACGCCCATCAGAGGCTTGCTCGTTTGCAGCTGGGTAAGCTCACGGCCACACCTGCCCCTTCTTTGCTCGCTCCCCGTGCAGCCCGGGCCCTCCCTTCGTGTAGGCTCAGCCCCACTGGGCTACGTGGAGGTTAAGCTGGGTCCTCCCCTGTTTTCTTGCTCCTGGGCAGCTGGCTCTTAGCTCCCCGTGGAGCTGCTGAGCTCCAGCAGCTCTCCCAGGCGATGAGCCCTCCTGCAGACAGGCACATTTGGGGTTGTACGAAGCTCTTGTAGGAGCTGGGAGGTAAGAACACCAACCCCAACAGGCTGCACCCAGCTGGCAGCTTCTCTTTGTGCCCATATACCTGCTCTCCCTTCACCCCCCTGTTCCCATGTGGTCTGTGTGTGTGTCCCTGTGTGTGAGGGTGAGAATTTGGGGTTTGTGCTGCTGGGAGAGGGGATCCCCTGGGAGGGGAGCTGATGTGCTCTTCGGTTTCCTCCTGCCCAGCCTGCGGCTGTCCCCAAATGTGGAGCCCTCCAGCACCGTGGTGTCTCTGGAGTGGCTGGACGTGCAGCCTGCCATCGGGACCAAGGTGTCCGACTACGTCCTGCACCACAAGAAGGTGGACGAGTACACAGACACCGACCTCTACACAGGTGGGTGGCGCCGCGGCGGGACGGCTCTGTGCGCTCCAGAGGGCGCACAGCGGTGTGCATGGTGCTGAGCCCTGATGGGGTCCTCCTCGGAGCTGCTGCTTGTGTGCAGAAAGGTGCAAGGAGCAGAGGTGTTAGGTGTGCTGTTGGAAGCTCCAGGAGAGGTTTCTGAAGGCTTCTGTGGAGATGGGTATAGGAGGGGAAGGGGAAAAACAAAAATACAGTGTAGCAGAAGGAAGTGATTTGCTTTTTCTGGATAGGGGAGCTGTGAGCTGGAGTTGTTGGTTGAAATGACTTGAATTGACTGTTTGATGCATCAGCCTGAAGTGCTTCGGGGTGCTGGGTGCAGGGGGAAGGTCAGCATACAGCAGCCAAGGGCTGCACAGGATTGCGTGCTGGTGGTTAGAAGGACACGTCGAGTTACCTTGCGCAGCCAGCAAGGCAATCCGAAGCCTGCGATGTGTAGAGGGATCACTTAAGCAGCACATAACTTCTCCAGGGGAACCTGAACCTTCCCTGGGCTGGAGCTCAGTTTTCAGCTCAGGCGTGGGCTGAGTGCTCTGTGCCCTGCGAAGGCTTTGTCAGCAATTCAAGCCGTGCTCCAGGAGCTGCTGGGCAAGGTGCAGGATGTGAAGGACGGAGCTGGATTTGAGCGAATCAATGATTTATTTCGGAAAACATCACTGGAGGCCTTGCGTGATGCTACTGCTGCGTGGAAAACCAGGCAAAACCTCCTGCTGCTTTCTGCTCAAGGACTTTGGGTTTAGCTCATTAAAGAGGTTGGTGGGAGATGCCAGAGGCAGCCTGGTGCTGGCTGAAGCTGGAGCTGCCTTCTGCAAAAAAAAAAAACAGGTGCAGGCAGTACCACAGCTCCCCCACCTCTGGCTGGGGGGGCTGCGGGAGGAGGTTTCCACCTGCAGCTGGAGCGAGGCATTGCGAGGGCTTGTGGTGATTCAAACCTCCTTGGTTTAAAGCTTGGGCTCGGTCAGCTTGTGGCAAGGTGTGCGTGGCCAGGCTGCCTGCAAGGACACAGCTGAGTGTGGGCACGGGGCTGGTGCTGCTGTGGCTGCTTTTACCGTCAGGTGCAAGCTTCTGTTCCATGAGATCTGGACTTTTCCTGCTGGGGAGAGCTGGAGACCCCCACAAGGAGCTCTGCTTCCTTGCTCCCACATCAGTCCCACCCTGCAGAAACTTCCTCCTGCACCTTCTTGCCAGGGCTGTGCCTCCACTTTCTTTATTCCTTGGTGTACAAAAGGTGAAGGGTGGAAGAAGTCTTGCTCTGTGTCTTGGAGGGGCACACTCCAGTAACGGGGAGGGAAAACAAGCCACCGAAGCACCGTGTTTGGGATGGGGATTCCAGATTGCTCACACCTCGGTCAGGTGAGGCCAGACCGGGGAAATGTGGGGTTGCTGCTTTGAAGTGGCTGGAGCTCTGCCTGGCAGCCAGAGTAGGAAAGGCAGATTATTATTATTATTATTTTCTTTTTATGACCGCCATGTGTTAGGCGATTGAATTCGTTGTGAGGAGCTGCCCTCCCCTCTACCTGCTCTGGGGGACTGTTCAGGACAGAATGACCCCATTACCAATTAAAGAGAAAAGCCGATCCTAAGCCTCTCCTCTTTCTCTGCGCTGTTTATAACCAAACAACATTCCTTCCTTCATTCCTTTCTTACCCTCCAGGCCCCTCTCACCAGATGACTTGACTCTTGCAAGTACCTTGCGTAGGTCTGCAGAGCTGCGACAGCTCTCGGGGGCTTTCCTTGGTACTGTACTGCTTCACCCTGACCCAAAACCCAGCCATAGGGATCTCCTCCTCACCACCACCCACCCGACACTGCAGCACGGCTCCATCCCATCCAAGCAGCAGTGCACACAAAAAGAAAATGAAGTCAACCCTAGAAGGGGGTTGCAGGAAGGGAGATCCGGAGGGGTTTATGGATATCGTCAGGTCTTCCTTCCCCACCAGTCCTGGGGCTGCTGGCAGGTAGGAGCAGGGTGCTCCCGGTGCTGGAGGTGCTCCCTGGGCAGTGCTGGGAGGATCTTGCAAGGTGTGAAGGCTCTTGAGACTGCTGCTCTTCATCCCTTGGATCTCCTGAGTTCAAGCATGTAGTTTTTTTTATGGCTGTGTCTTTTTATTGCAGTTGTAGCCACCTCTTACTGTGCTCCCTGGCACTGGCTGTGCTCTTCAGCCCTGTGGCAGGCTTCCCTTCTGGCTGGTACCTGGCCCCTGCCTTCTGCCCCCCCTGCAAAAAGCTTCCAGGCTCCCATACTTGCAAAACTCCTCAGCCTCCCCCTTGCTTTGCAATTGGAGGCTGAAGCCTTTCCCTTGAGCCATAAAATATCTGCTCCTCTTCTTCTTGGAGCTGAGTCAGGAGCGAGGCTGGGGGCTGGTGGAACGCGCGCCCCCCTGCTCCTGGGATGGGGCAGAAGCAGCTGGGAGCTGGTGTGGGTCGGCTGCCCCCTGGCTGGACGTGGCTCATAAAGAGGCTTCTTACTGGTGCTTGGAAGTGCACGGCCCTTGGACCATCTGATGCTAATAGGAGCAGTTCCCGAGGTGAACTGGTGTGCGAAACAAACCACGCTTTCAACACCACCGCGCGCGGAGAGAGCGTCTCTGCTCGGGAGCCAGCGGAGAAGACAGAGAGCAATTACATCCCAAACTGTTTATTAAAACTTGTGGAAATTACTCATAACTCCATGTGTGCGACGGCTTTGTAGTTGAGTGATGCTCTTTGTTTGAACATGAGGCTCTCGCAGAGGGCGCAGGCGCGCGTGTGTGTGCGCAGCCAGGGCCGCCAGCGCATTATGTCATGGACGAAGCAGGCGCTGCACTTGAGAGAGGGAGAGAGAGAAATGTGTTTTACAGGGTGAGGTACAAACTGAAATGGCTGTGAACATCTGGAACTGATATTAGGCTTGGAAAATGTTTTCTGTCACTCCAACACTCCTCTGGAGGAAGGTTTCTGAAGTTAAGAAGCTCCAAAGGGGATGAGGGGGAGGGATGAGGGGATAACGTGACCACCGTGCAAAGTGCTTTTTATTTCTCTGGCCTGGTTGCCGTAGCCAGCCCGTGTCCCTGCCCCTATCAGACGAGGGACCTGGGGTATCACAAGGGCTCGTTGTGGTGGCTTTACATCAAAGATCCTCAGCAAGAGCTGAGCCCTGCCATGGGAAACGTTCCTGTGCGTGGGGCGCTGCGTCCTCCAGCCAGGGTGGGGTCGGAGGACAGAAGGCCGCTTGTTTTTGGGTTGGGAGGCTGGGTCCTGCTGCTGTGTTCTTCTCACCGTGCCTTAAGCCCCTCTGCTGAGAGCCTCACAGGTGGAGGTGGCAGTTGGTGAAGGCTGGGTGGTGTTGGCCATGGTTCATCCTCCTCCTCACCTCTGTTCCATGCACGTCTCCCCAGGCCTCTGTTTTGGCACGTGTAGCAGGTGCCAGGACAGATGGAGCTGCTCTGTGCCATGGTGGGTGGGAGGCACTGATGCACCCAGCGTGGGGCTTCAGGGGGCAGGAGGGGACCGGCTGGGCTCTGTGGCTCGGGTTGCAGTGATGCAGAGGCTCCTCGATGGTCGGACTCCTCTTGGGTGCAAGGGGGTGGTGATGTGACATTGCTGATCCCACCTCCTGCTCGCCGTGGTGGGGTGGCTGTTCAGCCTGGGGGCAAAAAGAGCAGTGTTAGCCAGAGGTTTGGAAATTAGAGGGGGCAAAAAAAAGTGCTTTAACTGCATTCATAGTACGTGTACAGCGGGGCTGGGGGAGGACGGGGCAGTGGCTGTGGGCTTTGGCTGTGTGATGGGTTGGGGTCTGTGAGCAGAGTTTGTGCCACCCTAGGGTTGGTGGCTATGTTGCTGTGATGTTCTTGATCTCCTCTGTCTCTTTCTACATGTTCCCCTACCCAGAGAGGTTTTACAGAGGCTCCCCGCTGCGAGCTTCCTCCTGCAGTGCCCAGGCAGTGCTGCTGTTTCTCTGGATGCCCCCAGAGCAGCCTGTGCCAGCATCCTCTGCTCCCAGTGCTGCCTTCAGCACCCATCCTGCAGCCCCTTCACAATGCTCCAGGGTGGAAACTGTGGGGCTGCTTCTAGAAAAAGCACCGAGGGTGCTCTCTCCATCTCACGTTTCCCTGCTGCCCTCCTCCAGCAGCAGGAGCAGGCTGCCCCGTGGGCAGTCCCTGGATGTAATGGAGGGGCCTGGGGAGGTGCCCACCACGGCACCTTGTGAGCTGCTGAGGCAGGAAGGGGTTCTCCCACGTTTGGTGGAGGATGGGGACCCCCAAGACACAGATAAATGATTTGTTTGAGGTCGTGGGAGCTGGGCAGTGAATTACTCAGCACTAGACCCTCAGCATTGAGGGGTCACGTTCCTTGGGCACGGAGCTGTCCCCTCCTGCTTGTGTTCCAGCAGCCGAGTGGGTAGAACGGGGAAAACGCAGAGCAATGAAGTGCCCTAGCCCAGTGCCTTCAGTTCTGTCAGGGCTCTTAAGCTGTGATTAATTGTGCTCTTAGTCATATGGCCTGAATTTCTGGGTAGACCTGTGTGGGGCCAGGAGTTGGCCTCAATGATCCTTACGGGTCCAACTCGGGATATTCTGTGATTCTGTGATTGCCTCTGTCCTTCCAGATTCCTCTGTCCTTCCTTGCAGAAGCTTCACTTCTGCAGCTTGCTGTGTGCCAGCAGCTGGGGATGCTGTGGGACGTTAGCTGGGACGGAGCACACAGCAGGGGATGCCTCTTGTGTGCTTTTACGTGCCGCCACGTCCCAGAAGGATGAGTCCCAACAGGGACCTCCAAGAAAGGAGGGGAACAGCAGCACAGGCTGCCGAGTGCGCTTCTTGGAGGTCGTGTAGACCTTGGAGCAGGAGGAGAAGGCAGCCTTGGGCTGTTCAGGGCTCACAGGGGCTGTCTTACACCAGCACGGCCTGGCTGCATGCAGCAGGGCTGTGACAGGGAGGAGAGCCCCTGGGTGAGCTGCAGAGCGCCAGGGGGACGGGCTGGGTGGGATAACTTGC